CGCACAACCACATAGCGCTGAGTTCAAGTGAAGCGCAAGTGTTTGGAATTGCGGTTGAGCGCGGTTAGTTGTGGTTTCGCAGTTAGCACAGCCAATTAGGACGTATCCAGACGCAATTTAGACAATATAAACAAATAAATATATGTACACATGTATGTTTGTATTATATTTTCAAGCTATATTATTGGCATTTGTATAAGCAATAAAAAAAATATGTTAAAAATTTATTGTTTTGCGCGTATAACAGAATCGCTTTGTTGTCTCTTGCCTTATTCAATAGTGACGTTACAACAAAACTTTTTCGCCACCAAAACAAATTGAATAGTAACAAAACTGAAAGTGCTCATGCATTGAATGACTCGCAAGTTTCGTGGAGAGATTTTGGGTTCATTTGAATAAACTTACGGTGAATATGGCATTATAAATGAAAATTAATGTTTGGATCTTCGGCCATAACTTCCACTGTAGGTACTGTGGTGGTCGCTTGCCGCCAGTTAGACGTACCGAACATAGCTGAAGCTTATTCCCCTTAAGCCAACACTCGGCATTTCCTTAATTTTCCATCTGTTCCTTCCAGTGGTTTCCCACCCACTGCAAAATTTCAAATCAGTTTCGTTCATCCGGACGCAATGAACAAATAGTGTAACCACTGTTTCCTGGTTGTCGTCTGTGGTATTCCTCGTCGCTAGTAATGCTCTGGCCAATCAATGCTAATAAGGACCCCGCAGTCTGCGCCAATTGTCGTGGTCTAAAAGCCTCTCCATCTCCACTTAAAAGCCTTCATCTATGTCGTATTTTAAAAATTATTAAAGCCCAACGTCTATGGACTTTATCAGTGAGGGTGTGGTAATACCATCAGTGAAAAAGGGTGCTCCTTTTGCCTGACTAGACAATTGAACTCAAACCAAACTCTACAAGTCGCTCATTATTCGTTACCCTGATGTAGAAGCGTGAACTATGTCGGACAAACGATGAGCCGAATAAGAAATGTTGGCACATGCTTTCCCAATTTAGCCACCCAGCAGTTTCTGTCACTATTTATTCACAGTTTCCTGCCAGGTTTCGCCTTATAAATTCCTTTGATTCACTACTTTTTTCGTGCAAGAATATGCCACAGACGGGAAGCGCTTTTCAGCAGAGCTCCTACTCCACATTGCGGTATGCGCCTAGATGTTTTTGTCATTCCCTGCCGAGCGACGACCTCAACGGGAAAATAATTTTCTATAAATTTGGACGTCGGTTGAAGAAAGACTCAAGTCCTAACTTTCTGAATTACAGTCCGTAATGTCAACCACTAGGCTACTGTGGCCACGGTCTGCATTTTTGCCATACCACATTTCAGCTCGGTCTTGCCGCAATGCGACTGCTTCCTTAGTGGCGATATGCAGACCCCTTGAAACGTCTTAGGACATGGTATTTTCTGCATAGTTCTAGAGAAAATAAGAGTGTTCTGCGTCAATGACATGTCTTAAGATATGTATTAAATGGTCGATTTGGCTTCGCACCTTAGTAAAATAGATGAGCTGTCGCTTTGAGGAGACTGAATTTTTCATCCTTTTGATGTTGAACAGGTGGATCTTCTATCAATTGGTCGAGGGCATACTTTCCCTTTCAGGGTTGCAACCCCATTCTGACCTGCAGATAGTAGCAGAGCTTCACACGACTAGGTGATGTTAGACCCTAAGAGAATATGCCGCCCTAATCCAACTGGATCTCGCTGTTTCAGTTATGAACTCACAATTTGCAGTAAACGAACTCAAAACAAAAACAACTCTAATGATTAGTGGACGCTGGTATGCAATCTTATCACTAATAATTATGAATGTTCATAAGTACTCACATACATACATAAATATTCATGTTTACGGGACTATTTCCCTTTGATACTTAATTGTGTCTAGTTATCTGTATGGTCTTCTCCCTTATCCGTTCTGTTCTACATGCCTACTGTCTTCCAGCTACAACAAACCAGCACAAAAAGTGAAAAACGAAAAGAGCGCCATCGCCTTGACGCGTGGCGTGGCGTGTACATACATAATCGTACATATGTCTGTACATATGTGACAACGAAGACGACTCGATTTTATTAATTGAAATTGAATTGAGTGTCAAGCGTAATTTGCGTTGGGTCTAACTGATGCGTATACTCGTACTCCGGCATTCATTTTGGATGTAACCGGCACCCAGCGGCCAATAGCGGTTATTCCTGCTGAGCTGCAACGATGACTCTGGACACCACTCGGCGGCCACTCCACTCCGTTGTACAGGAAATCGGCAGTCAATGATGCTGTTTCTGCAGTATTGACGATGTCGTACACCTAGTGGATTGCAGAAAGAAGAAGAAAATATTGAAGTGGGAAAAAAAGTGAAAAAGAAACAATGAAATGAGAAACAAGAAGGACTCGTATTTGACTGCAATAAAAACAATGAAAAAAAAAAAACACTCCCAGCCAACAAACCATTACCGCTTATCACATATCGATGCTGCTACTTTATATGTGTGTCTACATGTGCATGTGGTTGCAGGAACATCGTTAGCTGCACTGCACTGAGCCAGCATAATTTGCCTTTTTGCAGTTTGAATTTGTTTTTCCAACTTCGCCAGCTGCGCTTAATTTTTTAATTCCAACGCGTAAGTAAATATTGTGTAAACAAATAATTGAAATGAACGCAGAAAAGTGAAATTAATTTTTATGCAACATTAAAAAATCAACTGGACATAAATTTCTGTTTGCAATACCAGTTTCAACTCGCTCGAAACTTATAAGCATAAACAAGAATAGTTTTAATTTTAGAAAACGAAAGGAATTTTAATTAACCTGAATTCATAAATATTAATACACATATGTATTTACATATATATATACATATATATATATATATATATATATATATATATATATATATATATATATATATATATATATATATACTTCACGTTCATATTAATAGTGTAAATTTGAAAAAAGCTTGTGTTGAATCGAAAATTTTGTTATTCAAATGGGTTTGAAAGGGTCGGAACCGATGGAAATGTAGGCTATAGGGTGAACGAAGAACTAGTATCTACTTGAGCTCTATTTTTTACCGCATTTTTAAGCGGCTGTGGGATGTGCCGCTATCACGATGGCATATCAAATACGGGTTCACAAGCAGCACATCAATCTTCTTTTCTTTTCGCCGTTTGGCGCTAGCTGTTGCTCCGCTGCTTCTACCGACAACATGACCCGGCCACCTCATAGCCGCATAGTTTGCGGTGTATTCACCATTGCCAATGCGAACAAGTCATACACCTTTCTGTGAAGTCTTTCACCCTTCGAATGTCGAGATCGTTCACGCCTCTGCACCATACAGCAAAATCGGAATGATCAGCGATGTCTTTGTTCGCCGAGGGAGGACTTTACTTTTCAATGGCTTACTCATTCCAAAGTAGGTCACTTTGGCAAGAGTGAGTCCACTCTGAATTTCGACATTTTTGTTGGTGTTAACGTTGGATCCAAGGCAGATGAAATTATATACATCAAGAGCGAATTGGGAGCCTAAACGCTAAAGCGGTTGATCGCAAAGCTGCAATGTAGACAGTCTGATTTTTCTCCGCTGCAGTTCGACATTCGTACCAACGTACCAACTCTTCTTCGGACTTTATCGGAAACCAATTGTCTCTACAGCGGCTTTACGTCTGAAACTTGAAATACCGTTGCACAATGCACTCAAATCGAGCTACCGATGAGTACTTTCCGAGAGTGTGCTGGAGTGCAAGTCTAGTTGCAACGCGGTTGGCTGTCTGTTGTAATTTCAGCTTCTCGACTTTAAACCTTTCTGAAATACCATTAGTCACAAATTTTATATATTTATTTATTATATTTAAATTTTTTATCCTTAGATACCAATTGTGGTGCTAGTTTTACATGGGGGACTTTATCGTTAATAATCCATTATTCAAGAGGCGTTTTCGTTACTTTTCAAGTAAGATAATGCATTTCGCGTAGACTCCGATTCTGCAGTTTGATTACGCAACTACATTGTTTTACATTAACCCAGAAAATTTCCGAAATTGTTTTTTTTTTCGATGTTCGCGGTTTGGTTCATCAGAACTCGTTCCAACGGGACAGATGGTCAACAAAGAGTATTCTTTGAGGCGTTTGCTCAAAAACATACGTCGTGGCGATAATTTTTGGCATAGCAGTTAAGGACAGTGTTACCAACTTAACAAAAAAATGTGCTGAAAATATTCAGCGCGGGCAGTTTAAATGTCAGTTTTCGAAAACTTTCTGGTCTCAATGAACATATAAATAATTGAAATTTATTTGTTTATCTGCATAAATTATTATACGCTTAGTAGGGGCACGGTGGCCAGTGTGTGGTGGTGCCAGCTCATGACAATCCCTAGAACGAAGACGAGGAGGTGCTCACTGTTAACGCACACTTCTTCCGAGCATTAAGTAATTTTTTTAAATAAGTTTAACTAAATGAAATATTCATCGCAGAAACTTTATTTACCAAGCTACGGTGCAAGCCCCTCTCCGTATGGTAAGCCATATTCCATTCGTAAAAAGTACTTATTTTAAGCGCGCCATTTGTTGTTAACTTTACCTTCCGAAGGTAAATACAAACAAGTTAATTAGACAATTATTTGGACAATTGTTTAACATCAAAAGCACATTTATTCGATTTTCACTTTGTTTGCTTGCGGGTTTTAAGTTCTACCTATTCTAGTAATGACTTATGTATATATACATACAGCAAACTTTTATTAAACATAATTCCAATTATAATCTGTATGTTAACTTTTTGAGTAAATACAATACAAATATGTAACCATTGTATTTAATTTGGTTTTCTTAAAATAATTGAGGTTATTGTTAAAAACTCAAACATAACGACAATAAATAATTTCTTTTACAGAGCCCTTGATTTTCCATACAGAGGGTTCTGAAATAATAAAATTTAAAATTTAAACTATACACATACACAATAATTTAAAGTTACATTGAATGAAATTTTTTTCATTTTAAAGCGAGAAAAATCACATTTTGATATTTATTTCATAAATCGACGAAAATCATGTTCACATTTCGCCTGACAGATGTTTGAAAAGCAAAAAATATGACTCTTTCGTCTGGGAATTTATCGGCCGTACTACCATTTCCACATTTCGATGCCACAATGTGAATTCAAAAAAAAAAAATCAGGTGAAAGTGAATTGGTGAGTTCTCATTTTCACAAATTTTATCATCGATAAAATCCTACCCTTCTTTACACTTTTTGTGGCAGTGTTTTTTCTGTCACACATATCATTTATCGTGGAAAGACTGTTGTTGTAATTTCCATTTTAGTTTGAACGCGGTTAGAATTTTTCGAGACAAGTAAATAATTCAGCAAAGATGCTTAAAACATATCCTACAAATATCACAAAATTGCTACAACGTATTCAGTGAGCAAAAACTAACACAATCATACAATTAAAAAAGTAGTGAAATGAAAATGAAATGAATTTCGAAAAATATACTCTTCATTTACTATTCAACATGGGCCCTTAGATACCCCTTTCTTTGGTATGACAGATACCAATTATTTAACGTTCGATTTCATAAAAATTTACGCATTTTTTGCGCTCTTTTTTCAATCCTTTATGTATGTGTCAGATTTCAAAAGACATGATAAGCCGTTCTCGTAACTCGGCAATACATTTCTTGTGACAGCTTTCGTTAAACTTAAAGCAGAAAAAGTTACTTACATGAATATGTTTTCAGATTTTTTCCAGAAAATGTGATTTAGGAAAGGTTGGGTTAAGTTAAACTGGCTGATCCAGTCAGTCTCGCATAGACGACTGATTAAGGAAAAGTCCTTAAGTAAATTCTGTAGTCATCAAAAGTGACTCAAATGATTTCCTTGGATCTTGTAATTCCAATTAACGTTTAGATTCTGGGGATCAAAATTTGCAATGAATTTTCTTTAATATAACTTAAACAAGCGGAGAGTAGAGGTGAAGACCCAAAGGGATCTAATGTATTTTCAGTAGGCGGTTTTCCAAAACAGATATTATTAGAAAGTAAATATTGTTAGATCATTATAGAATTACATTCCGGGCGATGAAATTTGTAGCATTAGCATGCACTTCCATACATTTTTCTATAACCACATAGCAGATCTACCTAAAAATCGTTCATCAACTTTTCTTACAAGGCCTGTCAGCTTTTGTCATGGAATGTTCTTGAATCTATCAAACCTTATAGCTTATGAAGAGCTTAAACTGCGAAAAGTCAAAGATTCTATTTCTATTTTGGGCATTTTCTTTTTAGACTACCAAATGTGAGACATCACTGGTGTATGCCGGCGAGTAGCGTGGCGGCAACATATTAGTAGGTGGACGCATTTTGCCCAAAATCGGCATGTGCACTACAGGTGTGTGGCCTCCTTTCGTAGCCTCTACCAAGTAGCGTCGATTTCGTAAAATATCAGCATCAGTCTTCCAGGCCTGTTCGGGTGCGCGTGGTCCCATGCGTGGGTAACGTCGTTTATCCACCGCCAAACTAATGGTGCCCGGATTGGCATTCAAGCCGACATTGTATTGTCGCTGCATAGCCAGTGAGGCGCGTAGGGTTTTGCGTTTCTGAAAAGAGTGCAGTGAAATTAGTTGTTTTGCTTCTTTAATTGTTGGCAGAATTTGTACATACCTCTATGGTGCCGCGCCATTTATCTGCTGCATGCCGCGCTATGTCCAAACGTTTCTGTTTTTTCACTTGATGCTTTTTGTAGATCACTTCGACTATAATGAGACCAACACCGCCGGCAACTCCAGCCGCTACCAAAATGAAGACACCAGCCATATTTTGTAATCCCAATGTGTTGGGGGTCTTTTCGAAAAGTTCACATTGTTGAGCATTACCGTGGAATATCCAATGTTTATCAAGCGCTTCCATAAAACCGCCTTTCCAAAAAAAAAAAAAATAATAATAATAAACAAATCATTTAAGCACATCAATTATGAGTTTTGAAAGATGCGCTGCATAAATACTGACTCTCATGGAACTCCAAAATTGCGAGCGTTACAGCATCCGTCCAAGGCGAACCCTTTTGCAGACCAATGCCATATCCACTACGTCCGAATAGTTCACCCGCAGTGACCAATTCGCAATCCTTTGAGGCTTCATATTCGAGGCGCGAAGAATCCCAAATGAAAGCCATTAGCTTACTGCGAGAAATAGATTTTTTTTTAAGTTTTGAATTAATTTTTAAGTCTCTCACTTACCCCTTCTTGACATCCTGTATCGCCTGCTCTGCTGTATCATAGTTATTTGCCTCCATTGTTCGGTACATGTTGGATAACTCCACCTGGCGCCGGAAATACATGTCCACCGATGATCCCTTGACGGTAGCGCAAGTCAAGTTCTCCATTGTATTCCTCAGACGCGCATCATTGATACCGCTTAGTTTTGTTTTGGGACGTTCCAACACGAGGAAAGCGGCCAGGTTGGCAGTGTACGAGGCGACAATGATCATTGCAAAGCCTGCCCAGAACATGCCGAGTACACGTGCTGAAAAACTGCGTGGTGTGCCCTCGCCAATACCGCTATTCAGTAGCACACCCCACGCAAACCAAATTGCCGAGCTCAAGTTCAGTGCTTTCTCTTCATTGCTTTCCGCATGCGTTAGTTTGAAACGTCCAAACGGCGAGAATCTGTGGGGAGAGAAAGCAAACGAAAAATCGCCAAGAGAAGCGTCGTTGAAGTACGGTTATTTACCTGGTTGTGGTAGGGGCACAGGGTTGCATAGCGCAACGTGAAGTGAAAACTACGAGAGTGGATAGTGGGGAGATGAAATGCATAGAGTGCTTCGGCATGCGATCGATGAGCGACGATCGATATTTAGTTTGAGTGTTTTTTAATAGATTCTTAATTTTTTTTTTCTTTTGTGAGCTAGTCTTTTATTCATTTGATGTTTAGCATTTGGTGTTTGGGGAAAGGGTGCAATGGTCGTTAGATCAGTTCTCAGTGCTTCTAATACGTTTTAATATTTCATACTGTTTTTCAATAATAATTTGATTTGAGAACTGACCTCAGATAGGATCTGGGCTGCACAACCCTACTTACCTATCCAATAGATATAAGACCAGCGCGACTACATGTACTGATACCATTACCAATATCCATAGCGTGTTGCTAAATGGCTGCAGAAATGACACCAGAGTACTTGAACGTGATGGTTTCTTTTCTAGTATTGTGATGCCTTGGTACTTGAACGGTTTTGAGAACTCAATAAATTCGGCACGCTCTGGATTAATGGTGAGTGGCATCGCCATGTCGGCACGTTCATTCACCAATTCCCCAATCAGACCGTTCCATTCTTTGCGCGACTTTATCGCGCCCGAACTTGACGAGCTCACATTCTTCAAGGTGTAATGGCCGAATAGACCGTCCGGTGATAGTGCCAAATCGAAGGTGAAATTAATACGGTGTGATAGAGCGTTCAAAAGATCGATGCAATAGCCGCGACAGCAATTCTCGTTCTCTAGTTAGAAGCATAGGAATCACAAATCATTAAATGTGGTTTATATAGAGAAAATAGATATGATAAAGACTTTGATCAAAGAACAGAGCTTATATAATACTAACATCTATATTACTAACCCAAATTATCTGACCTCAAAAGTGATCGGTTCAACTGTTAAAATATTTTGCACATGTAAATAAAGTACGGACGGGCTCTTTCAAAATGATCTCTGTAATAAAATCTGATTTCTGGGGATCCCAGCAACAACTCTTTTTGGTAAATAAACTATGAGATTGGTACTAAGAAATAGTTTAAAGATCAAATAAAGTTACAGGTGCCATCGCGCCCAGCCACTTCATGGAAGGTTTTGGATCTTTTTTTGTGGGCTTATAAAATCCAGATCGAGCATCAATTGGAGGCGAACAACCAACTATCAAGCGGGTTTCACGTTGCGTGAATGGATCGAAAACGAGATGGCCACTGATCCTGATTTTCACAGGAAAATTTTGTTCAGCGATAAATCGCAATTTTTGGTTAAATTGATACGTTAAACAACTGTTTGCTGTGCTCTATGAGTAGAGGGAATCATTGGTCTATATTTCTTCAAAAATGAAGCCGGACATGATATTACAGTTAACAGCGAAAGCTGTAGAGTAATGATGAGTCATGACTTTGGTTCCAACAACAAGACGGCTTCGTGACATACAGCTAACGAAACGATCAATTTATTGATCGTGCTCCTGTTGCTAAAGCGAAATTCTTGGCCATGAAATTATTGTTATTTCTACTGCCAGAAAATATCCACCTGTTTTCTATTAGAAATGCATTAAAGCAGCATGCATATCTACAATCCATATGTCGAGTGCTCCGTGTTAAATCTTAATTGAGTGAGAAAAAGTGAGAAGAAAAAGGAATTCAGCAAAATTGTCTACCAACCGCTGCCATCGGTGGCATTAAATAGTGGACATGGTATCTCGTCCTCATCACAAGTGACTTCATCATCGGTCAAACGGCGTGTGTAAACGAAGGGTTTCTCTTCAATTGTGAGGATCTTCAGATGTGTTGGTATCATTATGCCTTCCGGTTTCTTCTTCTGCTTGCCAGGCCATAAGATTTCGCTGTCATTTATGCGTAAGCGCATTTTTGCCTTTTCCTACATAAAAAAACAAAACAAAGATAGAGAAACAATAAAAATGTTTATGCTAATGAAAAACCAAATTAGGTATGTGCGATTAATAAATTAACTGTAAAAGTTGATTAACTCAAAACCCGATTAATCATTCAGTGAGTATTCAGTTTTGACTAATTTCCTGTTCGATTACATTTTCTTTAAGTGGAATCTAAATAACTCAATAAAATCTGAAATTGGTTCATCATAAATCTGATTAATCGTAAAGCTGCTCGTTTTTCATTGTTGTTTAAAAATGTTCAACTTGCAATTATGCGATTAAAGTTGCCGGAGCTGACAAACAGCATGTGTAGTTATTCCAGGCCGTTTGTCATGTCGAGCGTACCATTTGAAAGGCTAAATAAAGGCAATACGATGTACATGCTGTGTACGAATAGCGCTACGCGACGACCAGAATAACACATTGCTCGTAAAATTTTAACCTTCCTCTACTTCCTCTCATTTCTCTGGTAATGTTCGAACACCATCTCTAAGAAGTTAGTCCTCTCTGTTTTCTATCCAATCGGTGGCACCTGAAACCGTTTAGCAACCGTCGAAAAAGCCAGTAGTCCGAAGGAGCCAGGCATCAAGAATACAGCGGGTAGGGTAGGACCTGTAATTTCAGCGTTTCCCGGTAGTTTTCGACTGATAAAGTCACGTGGTGCCACGCACTGTCATGTTGCAAAGTCACTTACTCAAACGCATTTTTTGTATTCGATAACGTTTCGTATCAATGGTTCCACTTAGTTTTACCAGTTCGTAGAAGACCACACCTGTCTGGTACCACCATATGATGAGCATGACCCTTACAGACGATAATGGAACTTGTCCATCGGACTTCGCCTTACTGGGGTTATCGCATTATGACCACTATTAATTTCCGGTCTCGATTCGGTGGAGAAATCCCTTCCTTAGATGGCTTTCAAAAAGCAGCTCCGAGGTGAAAGCTCGCTCGCCTTCAACGCGTACGGCACCCGATTCCCGTGGTTTGGAATCCAAATTGCTTTAACCGAAGCGACTGCTAAAGTTACTTAAAACGTTTCTGCGAGAACAGACCGAAGTAATTTTAGCACCAATATAAGTATGTATTTGCATATACAATTTTATATAATCAGAATAAAATTAATCATTTTTCATTAAATAAAAAAAAAATTAATCAGTTAATCGCACATACTTAATATTGCTAGGAAATATATTTTATTAGTGGCTTCAACGAGACTCTTAATTAATAAAGATATAGTTAAGTTATAAGTAGATGTGTATGTTTCCAAGCATTTACTCACACCATCATAATAGAATTTGCCCACAACATGCTTCTTTTGCTTCTCGTGTATATTGATGACATCATAACCGGCGAAAATACGATCGCCGTTATCGTCAAAAGCCACTTGTCCCGTGTCGCCAGTTATATTGCGCGTCTTTAGGTATTGAAACAGCCGCTTACCTACATACATACACACATACATACATGGATGATTCTTATAAGGATATAAACACAAGCATAGCAAGTACATATACATGTCTATGTATATGTGAGTGTGTGTGTGTGTGTGTGTGTGTGTGTGGTAGCAATCATTTATGTGTGTGAATAATTCATTTTAAGTAAGTAAATGGAGTTTGTCTCACCGGACTCCCAATTAACACCCGAATCACCGCAATCCTTTGGCGCCTCTGTAATCGTTTCATTGGACATCATCTCCTTAATTGCCGACGCAAGTACATAAACGCTATCCTAAAAGGACCGCAAAAATGGCAAATGAGGCAATTAACTTCAAGTTTTATATATATTATATATATGTGTGCGTGTGTAAGTATGGTATAAAAGTATGCGCACAAGCGGATTATGAAATGCTTAGTGTAAACATATAATATAACACAGTAGTGAAATTCGTTGGTTAATCACATGCACACTAAGGAGGTACATGAACGTTGGTTGCGTGTTTGGAAAGAGAATGCCGATGACTGATCACGGGTGGACACACGTAAGCCATTGAGTAGGCTCTTTGTTCTCATCATCTTAACCGATCTATGTGTTATCGAACAATTTTCTCGGTTTGATCAATTTTCGAATTTTTTTCCCATCTATTCTTGGACATTTGAGTATTGTGGATATTACATCTCAGGAGTAGCAGTCCTATCAATACAACTACAAAAATTAAGTTCTTTTTGCTTATTACTAGTAAAAATTTCTTCGGTATACAATCCACGCTGCCCCGGTGTAGTTTAGTTGCATGTCCTACCTTTTTCTTGTTAAGTGATCCTGGATGCTTTACTGTTTTAGACAAAATTTGAATATACTGAAGATTCGAGTATTCACAGCGTGTGCAAGTCATCTCATCCAGTTTGGTTTTAGTTACTCAAGCATACTTAGCAAATTCGTTTCATGTGGGAGCAAGACGTTGGAACCTTTTATATTTCTGCCCCCTCATCGACGTTAAGAAGTTTAAAAACCATATATATATATATCAAGCGCTTATTTAACTTCGCTTGACGTCCACGCATCGACTACTTTACTCGAATTAAGTGGAGCCTACATCTGGCTCATAAAGGAATAAGAGTACTAGTACAACCTTATCTAACCTGCGTTCATATTCACTATGAAAATGGATTAGGTTAACGATCACGGAGATTTTATGGAATTTAATTGAAAAAGAATAAGTCATCCTTCGAATAACTTCTGCTGTGGTTGTATAGGGTGTTTAGATTATAAAAAATTAAGCCGATAACGTTGAAGTTTTCTCCACTCACCCCAATTTATTCTCAGTTCAACCCAACCTAATTTTATTTATTAAAATAAACTCATCTCAATGCAATTGCAAATAACAATTCGTTTATCTCACTTTTCTCTACTTCACGTCAGTTAGAGTCACTGAATGCGGTAAACACCAACCAATTTCGCTGGTCTAAACTCAACTTAAGTGGGACTGCATTACAATATATATATGTATTATAGTATATATATACATGACAGGGGCTTTTTAGCCGCTGCAATGATTTTTGACCGAGCTCCACCTACAAGTTGTGATGTGCTCAGAGAGCTCGTTTCTCTGCGTCCAGGAGCGATCGCAACTAGAAAAATATATTTTCCATAACTTCGGATGTTGGTCGAACCCTGGTCTTCCGAAGTACTACGCACTGCAAGCCACTCTCTCTACATAACTCTGACTGACTTTAGTTAACTCAACTAAAATTTATTTTAACTTAACATAACTTAACTTCCTACCCCAGAACTGAACTCAGTTTGACTTAATTTGACCGAACTCAAGTCAATTCACCTCATCTCTAATTATGTGAAGTGAAATTAGTGCAATCAACTTTCCTCCTTTGGACACGACGCAGTATGGTCAAACCTGACTCAAATCCCCCTCAGCTCCTCTAACCTCAGTAGACATGTTATAGATTTATTGGTGATTTTCCTCCTAAAAGTAGAGGGATTTACATAACGGCTTAGAGTAGCTGATGAGCGTTTTCGCTTTGCGCAGAAACGTTATCGGCTTAAACATATTCTATAATTCTTTCTACAGAATGACCCCAACAGGACCAGTTTAAAAATGAAGAAAAAGATTATCTCGAATGCTGCAACAACATGTGAGTCATGAAAATTTAATGATGTTATGAAAGCACCTTGCAAGATAAACTACTCGTACTCGTATAGGAAGATAGCAAGAAATGCACATATATGTACAAATACTATTACTTATGTATGTCCAAGTGTATATACACGTCTAAGGGCACATAGGAATATGAGTTTGTAATTTTAATGTACATGTTAACAAAGTGAATAACAGCCGCTGGAGGAAAGTCTCCCCAACGCAATGTCTATCTGCCAGACAGAAAAACAAACAGATGGCGTATGAACGGCATGTTCGTTTATGAGTCGGTATGTGTGTAACATTTAGTATGTGCTCTTTAATTATGCTCATTCATGCTCACCCTTATGTGTCCTTTGTCGCTGTTTGCATGCTCCAATACCAGGCCCAAAACCCCCACTGGTGTATTATTAGCATGCAGCGCCTGTTCGGTGACAATCCAAGCATGACCGGCTTCGGTCATATTGTAGAGCGCAGCATCACGGAAAATGACTTGTGCATCCTCGGTGCTGTACGATGTGAAATAATATTGATTTTGTGTGTGTGGAAATTGAAAGGAAATGATCACAGTCTGTTCCTTACCTGGCATATAAGAGATAGACGCGCGATTGTGCCGTCTTCATGTCAATCAAATTCTCCGTGAAGCTATCCAATTTCGGCTCGAATTCGACAATCATTTCAACGGTAGCCCGCACATCGATGTCATCGTAATTTGTCTGCGAAGTTGTCTGGAAGCGACCGAGTATGGCGCGTCCATCTGTATCCGAGCTGTGTATTATGATTACCTGCCAATCACCAACGAAGCAACAACATAAGTATAAGTATGAACATATTGAAAACATCCAGCGTAAAGAATGGAACTTATGCAGAGCATTTAAATTCACCTCACCTTGGTGTAACCGAAGTGAAACATAATTTCCAACCAAACGTCCGCTTGATGGTAATACGGTGGTACAGTGCGCAAAAAGGAAACGTGAATATTTTTATCGGAAAAGGCGGCATCCCGTGAGGATATGCCAATAACTGGTATTTGGTAGAAGCCGCTGGTATAGCTGACGGCAGCGGGCGATAAATCTCCAGAGGTTTGCTCGTGAGACACAACAACAGCGTAGACCTATGAAGGGGAAAGGAAAGAAAGGTTTTCGTATACTGAGAAGAACCTGATAAACAGACAAATTAAGTGTGTTTTTCGATGTGCATTCGCCATTCGTCTCCCACCTACTTCCTTTGAAATTGTAGTTAATTTTGTCTACCTTGGAATCACTATTGACACAAACAACAATGCCAACGTGGAAATCCTACCCAGAATCAGTTTTTCCAGTAGATGCTACTTTGGACTTTGTAGGCAATCGAATTGTTAACTCCCCGAACAAAGACCAAACTCGATAAGTCAGCGTTAGGAGTTTTCCAGAGAAACGTTTTGCATGAGATTTGTGATTCTTTGCGCATTGGCAACGGCGAGTGCCAAAGTCGATGGGGCATTGAGCTGTACTATATATACGGCTTTGAAAGCTTTCGATCTAGAACTCGCCACTGATAAGCCTAGGTGGAGAAGGACCTAAACTTACTTGTTATTTCCAATTGGCGCCGACCATCGAAGAAAAGGAAATAAGCACGCGCTGTTATTAATTCGGCTATAATCTCGATGAATAATAATATTATTAAGTAAGACAAGCAATCTTGTACGCATCTCACATTTACTCTAAGTTAGAAACATGCCCAACATATCTCCATTTGTTGCGCTGATGGACTCTTTCTGGTATTGTACTATATTGTACTCCATAGCAGTAATAGCGGCTTCGGTGTGCACTGCCCGGCGTTTCTGAGTATGCCTATTATCCACTATGTAGGGTAAACGTGGTGGTGCACAGCCGATCAATAGCTGCTGATGGCCGATTATGTCGACCGAATATTAAGCGCAGCGTGCAAGACCAACTCCAAAAAAGTATTGCCTATTTGAAAACCAAATCTTTAAAAAACCCCCCTTTATATAAACGGTTTAAACCAGAATCTAAACCACTGATCGTACAGACCTGAGGGGGGGGGGGTGTGTTCTACGTATGACATAGACGACAGATAAGAAAAGAGTTACCGGGAAATGTACCTGGGTGAGCTCAATTTGATAAAACCCTATTTATGGCTCGATTTACCTTATATTTGGGTAAACTGGTAGATAGCTTCTTGCCTGTGGGAAAAATCTTACAAAGACTTTTATTCGATTTGAATGAAATATTATTTTCAACACTGGAAAATTTAAACCATTTAATTTTAAGTAGCGCCGGGAACTTTAAACATTTTTCCATTGTACCTTTTTTCTATTTTGTCATAATTTGAAACTTTCATTTATTCAATTGTTTTTTGTTAAAAATAAAAAGGAATTTACCGTCTTCTTCAAAGCTTTATAACTTTCACAACAAATCCAAATGATTTTATTTGAGAATTTCAATACAACGCATCAAACTTCGCCACATTTCGAGCGGCATCAGCATTTCGCTATGGAAATTTCTAATGTATGTGGATTTCAATTAGATGCATATATACATAAATACGTAAATATGTTTTTATTTTACTTGTTATATCTCTTTTCTCCCTCAGCGCAGCTGTTATGGCCTCCTCACCCTGCCAGTGGAGGATCGGTGTGCCTATATTGAAAGTTCCTCCTCCTGCCTTCCGGATGTGTATCTGATCAATTACATACATATCATATTTTGCAATTTGGAAATATCTACAATGTGGGGCAGAGCATTTTCATCCCTTGTGCTACTTATTATCATTGGCATATATTTTACTATTTTCGGTGTTACATCGGATATATTGTAACTATCGCTGCAGAGAAATCCTTCTGTTTGCAGGCTCCTGCTGATCATCTTAATTTCTATTTCTGTTATTTTTCGCACAGCTTTTGCCCCGCGCTGGCTGTGTTGGCACGTATGATGCGAATGAGTGAGAATGTGGCTGGTGTTACGTTGGTCGCTTTCGGTAATGGCGCACCGGATATATTCAGTAGCCTGTCCTATCTCCAGAATAATACACGTCGCTTGTATGCAGATATCTTAGCTTCGGCTCTCTTTGTTGTATTGATTGTGGCTGGCATTATCTTCTATTCATTTCCATTTTTTGCGCAACCCTATCTGCTGTTACGCGATGCGCTCTTCCTACTGCTCGATGTATGTGTAATTGATTATATAATTAAGAAAGATAGCGCCATTTCGGTGGGCGATAGTGTAGGTGAATATTTATTCGCAGACACATTCAATCATCTCTTTTTTCAGATTTTAGCGAATACTAACCTCTTCTCTTTCAGGCACTCTCTGCATTTACCTTTGTTACCTTTTTGTCGTCATATTTGATCAGTTTCTGGTGAGACGCGCTACAAGAAGTGAGCATTCACGTTACTTAAACGGCTTTACATAGCGGAGATTGGGAATTTAATTTTTTTATTTTTCTTCGCAGTATTGCAATTAAGGAGGAACACTCTAAAGAGGCTCTCGAATTTGGGTAACTTATTTTTGTATCTAGTTTCTAAATATTCAGAAATATTAATTTCGAAGGGTTGTTGCTAAAACTGAAAGCCTGTGACATCAGAAAATAAGTATCACAGTTGGTGTTCGTTTTGAAGGGGAGCGGACCCATGCCATCTCTAAATAACTATGAACTAATTTGTAAAGGACGAGAGTAGTGCCTACCCTGACCTTCCCAGATGGAGAGTAGTATCTGACCGCCTCTAAATATCTCCCATTTAAGTAAAGGAGAGCAGTATCACCTCGCCAAGACCTTCCGAGCGGGGGAGTAGTATATCACCACAAGCGCAAGCTACCTCACTCAGGACTCCTGCTTTGTTGGGCTGCGGTTGGCCTTTTGTACAAATGCCTTAGAGCGTACAGTTAGTCTTATCCACTGTTATCCGTTAGCATGTCTATCTTATGTTATTAAAGTGGGAATTATATTGTTAAGTATATAAATACAAGTTATCATTCATCTATTGCGACTGCATATGTATTATGAGTGAAATATTTCGTCTTATGTATGTAAAATTGGAGAGAGAGAATCGTATTTCCAAACATACTTATTTCATGCTCTCTCATTATTTCACCCACAGATGTAATTCGTCTAAACGACCTACGTGCGCAGGGTGTAATGAGGGGACGCAGATTGCCATATATGGATCGCCGTGAATTAAGTGTTTTATACTCGGGATCGATTGATCGAATAAAGTACACACTTTGGCAACAGTTACTCCGTACTCTTAGACCATATGATGAAACCGAATGGAAAAGTGCCAATTTTCTGATGAAAGGATTTCTTATTTTGCGCGCACCAATTCTTATAATGCTGAAAATGCTCATACCAATCACAGATCAAGAAGAAGAGGATAGTGGCTGGTCTCGTCTCCTGAACTGTGTGCAAGTGGTGCTTTTGCCGTCGTTCATTTCCTATGTTACTTGTGAGTGGGCGATGAACATTTCATAGAATCTTAATTTCAAATTCATTCTTCCATGGTTTTGTTTATAAAGTGATGCAGTATACGCTATTTGGAATGCCAATTTTCTTTTGGTCCACTTTGATAGGTCTTCCCTTGGCTGTTCTGATGTTTGTTAATTCCGAAACAAATGGAACACCGGCTTTTCATCAGGTAAATATGAAGGCGACTAATAAAAAGTTAATTTGTTTATTTATTCATCGTAATGTCCTTTTCTCGCAGTACCTTTCTATTCTTAGTGTCGCTGGCTCGGTATTTATTGTACGCGTTTGCTGTGCTGAGATCATAAATGTCCTCGCCGTGCTGAGCATTTTCACAGGGCTGAGTAGTTCTTTTTTCGGCGTCACTCTTTTGTCGTGGGCAAATAGTATTGGTGATTTGATTGCTAATCTGTATTTGGCTCGGCAAGGCTATCAGAACATGGCGCTTGCCGCTTGTTTCGGAGGACCTCTATTTAGTGAGTTCGTTAGCCCCCTTACTCTCCATGGCTTTTCACGAGATTTATCTTAGCCAAATGTGAAACTTATTCATTTAAACTTTATTTCCCAGACTCTCTGCTTGCGGTCGGATCAACTTTACTGTATAAAACTTTGACAGATGAAAATTTCGAAATTTCGGTACAGTATAGAATTAACCGCCCGCTTTATTAGATATCTAAAACATAATACTATTTGAAATATTTCTACATCTTTATGTTAATTTCAGGAATTTGGCGAGGGCATAATGGGCGAAAACTGCACCATTTTCCTAGCCATCAGCTTGGCGATTCTATTATTGGCTGCTCTTACGACAGACTTCTATTTTCGGCCCAGTATTGGTGTTTATGTTATTACAGTTTATTTAATTTTCTTCTTCTACAATCTTCTTGGAGAGTTTACCATCATTCATACATATGGCACTGATCATAGAATGGATCAAGTTATCGAACCAGTGCTTTAATCAATTGAAAAGGTTATAAAATAAAATTGTACAAATTCCACTTACGCGCTTTTCAATCAGCTTATCGCAAACATTAAACACCGTCTTAATGGGATTCTTATCCATTCTTATCGTCTTATCATAGTATGTGACCTTGCGCGGCACATATTGCTGGTCGAAATTTAGATGCTATAGAAATGTAATTAAAAAATAATAACAATAATAAAAAGGTATTCTTAAAAAAAAAAAACATATCAATATCGTATTTGTTAGATATATACTGATTATATCTATAGAAACAATCAATACATATAAAGAAATCCACTCACCGATATTATTCTTCGGAAGTACGCTTCACTATCCGGATCCGCCAATACACCGCCAATATTATATGTTGATGGATTATCTGAGTGCTGAATGTGTTTTTGTGCTGTAACACCCAAAAATATGCTACAAGTTAGTAGACACACTACATTTATTTCATTGAGCACTTTCATGTTTAGCACAAGTTATTTATTAGCCCGGATCAGTTGGAATTTTTACAGTTATAGCATTTCAGATAGTTCTGTAAGAAACGGAAAATACGAAGATTTTAATTCAAAAAGGTTTCACAGAGTAACGTAATATTTGTTGAATTGCATTTCATCTAAATTATTTGAGTTGAGTTTAACTTAATTTTATTTTATTTTATTTTGATTTATATTCTCTTTTATATCTTTTTATATTTCGGTTAGCTTACTTAAGTCCTTATAATTTAAATACGTGATAGTTAATTTTAGTTGATTTATATAACATTTTTCTAATTTCAAAACCATTACTGGAGTTTACTTGAAGTTAATTTAGTTAATTTAATTTACTTGATTTTAATTGTTTTTATTCTTTTCAATTTTTTATATATGTTAATTGTTCACTTAATTCAATTTTAAATTTATTTATATAATTTTGCTTAAGTAAATTTCATTTATTTTTAGATTAATTTATTTTATTTCACTCTATTTCATTTAATTTTAATTTAGTTGAATTTATTTTATTTAATGTATTTTATTCCATTTTTAATATACTTTGTATTATACTAACTTTTATTGTTTGATTCGGCAATCTTTTTATTTTTATTTTTTTATTTTATTATATTCATTTATCTAATTTTTTTATATAAACAGCTTATGTTCAACTGTCTTTGAGGTTTTTATTTTTTTATTATATTTAATCATTTGTTTATTTTACTTAAATGAAGTTTCCTTATAATTTGCTTCCTTCATTTAATTTTTTATTTATTTTAAATATAAATTGGGTTTTATTTTATTCTACTTTATTTTCTTTAATTTTAATTATTTTTATTTTATATCATATTATTTTTTTATTATTTTTTTTATTATTCATTTGATTTCAATAAATTTTTTTATTTATGCTTCAATTGATTTTATTTTGTATGGTTTTGTTTAATTTTTTTTCTAATTTTTTTAAATTATTTTATATAATTAGGGTAAATTTATTTAAGTTCTTATATTATAATTTTATAATGTGAATCCGTAGAAGTTAGCTCATAGTTGATTAAATACAAATTTGTCATATTTTCAAAACTGTTACTGTTGTACGACGCCGATAAATTTCTTTGTTTGGCAGCGCACATATTTGTTGAGTTGATCGGCTCTCTTTCTCGCTCAGTGCACAACCATTCAACATTAGTGTGATCATATGTTTTTGACACTTCTGCTTGCCGCTGACATTCCAATTAGACTGCTAACTTTTCCGTCATCAAAATCAACCACTTGTTGGATTTTGCAGCTTCGTCGCGATAACATTTTAATTTTATTATTTTTCGGTTAATTTTTCAATTTCCGCGAAAAGAATTCGTTTTATTTGATGGTTGAGTGCACAAACCAACTGAGTGACCATAATTTTATTGCTAAAATATCGATGAAACTGTGATACTTAATGTTTTTCCAATTTAATTTGCCTACGTGTGAGTGTATGTGAGTGATAGTGAAAACGCAAAAAGTCAGCTCATTGTGCTATTTGCTAGCAAATAAATAAAAAAACAGTTTGTGTTAAAAAGCCTCAAAGAGCGTATGGAGCTGCATGTTTTAATAGATTCACATATGTATGTACTTACGTGTGCAAAACAAAAAATTCCTAAGAAAATATATTTGAATGCATGAAAAATATATATGTATGTAGCTTATCTGCTGCTGTTTTCTGTCTGCGCAGTGGGTGTGCTGGCGGCAAACTAAGTGGAACGTAATCAGGTTTGCTAACAGTGCAACAACACTTTAGTGTATTAATACTGCATACCTGTATGTACATATGTACGAGTATATGTGCGGAATTGGTTTCCTATAAGTGGATTTGTTGTTTTGTTTATGTGTCACACATTCGTTAATTGCCGCATACCTTTTGCTTTTATTCTATCCAACAAACAACAAACCTACAAACGTTTATTTAATTTTACAAGTTGTTTAGTTGCGGGCAAAGAATACGTTTTTCAAATAAAAATATAGAATTATAGTTGTTCTAAGAAATTGTTTTGTGCAGACATATGTACATATGTACATACGCATGTATATTAATGAAAGGCATGCCCATCAGTGTACATTGAATTAAGATATAAAGTGTTTGAAATATATATATATAATAAATATATATATATTTGGCTATGTGTGTGTAATCAGTGTTAAGTAAAACTTCAACATTCCATAAGCATTCCAAACAATTATATATGTATGTATATGTACATTTGGTGGATACGATTTACAAGTAAGTATCTATGTACGTAGGAGCATGCCTTCATAAATTATATATTAGCTATATTTATATACATGCCTACACACGTATGTATATAAGCCGAAAGTTTGTATGCCTCTGAATGTGCACACACATATGTATGTATGCGCAATAGGGGGGTCCATAGATATTCCTATATATGTTTGTCTATTTATAGTTATAATATATACATGTGTGTATGTATGATTTAGAGATGTGATACACCAAAAAAAAGTTGCATTTTGACTATTCAATAATTTGTAGATTATCAACTACTGCATTAGTTTTGGAGCGTCAGTAACGCACGTAGCCCTACTAAGAGTAGTAGAGGCTTAAAGCTATGTTATAGCCACGCAAACGGGGGAGGAGGTAAGAGCAAAGCTGTGTTTTAGTATATTTTAGAATAACTTTTATACAAATACATATTTATGGACAATTTCTTGGCGGCAAAAAAATAAATATTTGCATAAAAAATATCGTCAGAAACAAAAAATATCTTAGTGGGATAGAAGATAATCACAAATATCCAGAAATTATCGGGGGCCAAAAAGCAGTTCTCTAAGATTCCATTTGCATTTTTGAGTCAAATATTTGCAATTTAAGCACATCAAAAACAGCCCACCCTAATTTTTCTTGTACATACATATGTACGTCGGCAATTGAAGTTAGCAAATATGATAACTAAACTTTTAACTAACTTTTAATTTCTTTATTATTAATTGTAAAGCGTCGACGCCAAATGGTGCATTATGTATCCATTTTTAATTCTCCAATGATTAAGCTACAATAACAACTCCTACTACGTTGATTAAAAGTTTTGCGAAGTTATGAAACTGAATACCTTCATGAGTAAATACATACACACATGTATAATGTGTGTTTCTTTGTTTTCGTATGTATGTATTTTATATTAAATTTATTGGTTAATATTCTATATTCTGGTAGGTGGATATGTAAATACGTATGTACGTGCATTAGAGTTTGTTGATTTCATGTTATGAAAATTTATCAAATCAAAATTATGATATTAAAACCAATACGGGGAATATTTTGCGGTTACAACAAACACAACACGATTTTGATTCACTTTAAACAGCTTAAAAGATCGATTATATTACAGTAATTTGATAAAATTTCTTCATTATCCTGTTTAGGGTCTCTAGTTTTAAAGAATATCTTTAGGTACCTTTAGCGCATTTTTTTAAGTTTTTTTTTCAACAATTTTTTTATTACGCTCTATCACTTCTTAAATTTTATTTTTTATTAAATATTTCTTAAATAAATTTGACTTGTTCTAGTTTAAGCTTGCTTGCACATACATATGTACACATGCTTATTGTTCCGCCTCACGCAAAAAAGTCTTTTGGCCACGGTAGAAGTCACATCTTTATATTTGTCACCATTCACAGACTCTTTTCCTTCGATACTGTCTAATGTTCATAAACATATGTATATGCACGAGTACATATACTTGTGTATGTACATATGTACATTCGCATGAAAGATCTTGTAGTGAAGCTAATTTAAATACACATATTTAAATTTATACATGACTTGCGTGTTAGTGACGTGCATCAGATAATTCATGCACACATACATACATATCTACAATCACATTCACTTAACTTTTAAATGCATACAATTCATTTATATGTATGGGCATGTGCTATTATGCTTTTGTTTTTCAATTGTGCAAATATATATATATATATATATACGTGTATACACTCCTGTATTCGTATCTACGTGTATACACACATACCATGCAAAGTAATTATGTATACGAGTATGTAAAAGTCAGTTCATCTTCAAACTCTTCGAGCCGCTACATACATATGTATGTACATACAATTGTATATCATATTACACAGCATCATCTCGTTTAATTATATAAAATAAGTAAAAATCGTGAAGTTAATAGTTGAAGTTGCAGCCCGCCCAGCAGCTGACATATTATATTATGGCGGTTAAATCTTGAAACCAAATAAATTAAAAAAAAAACATAAATAAAAAATATATTTATTTATTTATTTTTTAATTTCTAAATACAGAAGAAATGATAAATAATAGTTATCTTCAAGTAGCACCAGTGGCAGAGTATTTTTTTCCATGATGAAAATATAACTGGATTTCAGTTTTTATCGATGAAGATGTAAAGTAGTTTTTAATGCGATGTTCTCTGGAGCAAAACCTTCAAAGAGACGAATGAGAGTCTAATATACTTAGCGTTATATTAATATTGGGTTGCCCAAAAAGTAATTGCGGTTTTTTCATATAGTCGGCGTTGACAAATTTTTTCAACGGCTTGTGACTCTGTAATTGCATTCTTTCTTCTGTCAGTTATCAGCTGTTACTTTTAGCTTGCTTTAGAAAAAAAGTGCGCGAAATTTTGTTTACATTTGTTTGTTTGGCGTCAATTTTAATATGGAGCCCACAAAGGAGCATTTTCGTCATATTTTACTTTATTATTTCCGTAAAGGAAAAAACGCGGAGCAGGTTGCTAAAAAGTTACGAGATGTGTATGGTGATGAAGCCTTAAAAGGAAGACAGTGTCAAAATTGGTTTCGCAAATTCCGTTCTGGAGATTTTTCACTTAAAGATGAGCCACGTTCAGGTCGGCCAAATGAAGTTGATGATGACCAAATCAAAGCATTAATCGAATTGGATCGTCATGTAACTGAGCGTGAGATAGGAGAGAAGTTAAATATACCAAAATCAACCGTTCATTATCACATAAAAAGTCTTGGACTGGTGAAAAAGCTTGATATTTGGGTACCACATGTATTGAAAGAAATTCATTTAACA